CTGATGGTGATGCTGATGGTGATGATGATGATGATGATCTTGATGGTGGGGATGGAGGCGGACCAAACGGCAATAACAAGATCGACCTGGCCGAAAGCATTCGGACGGGCATCGAAGAGCTTGAAATGGAGGGTGCCAGAGAAGTAGCCAGAAGGGCCGATCTGCCTCCTCCTCCAGGGCTAGAACAAGTCCAATCCGAAGGCGCCCCAAGAGTTGAGATTCCAGATGACACTACAGAACATTATCTGGAAGGCAAAGCCAAAGATGGGAAAGTGTACCTCAACGATGATGGGGAAAAGGTCATGCTCGACAGCCGTGGACGACCATACCGTATCGATGATCGAGGCTTCAAGAAGTTCCACAACTCTCCACGACCTGACAAGTACATGCAAAGAGAATGGCAAAGAATTCCTCATGAAAGAAGAAAGGAAATCATCAAGGTTCAGGAGATGGAAGCAGAAGCAGAACGTGAAAGAAGGAAGGTGGAACGAAAAGTTAAGAAGAAGAAAAGAAGAAGAAAAGAAGAAGAAAAGAAGAAGAAACGAAGAAGAAAAGAAGAGGAAAAGAAGAAGAAGAAGAAGAAGAAGAAGAAGAAGAAGAAGAAGTCTTCAGGGTCAAAGGATAAGGGCCATGATGTTGGGGTATCTGTCGACCAGGATTATGTGAGGCGAGGGAAGGTCTTCCACTACAAGCGGCCCCAGACTTCCGACGGAGGTAAGGGCATTGCGATGTGGTAGAGCCTGTATCGTCTGACACCGATGTACGTGGTGATGACGATTTCCTCATCGAATGGGATGAATGGTCCGAGTTCGAGAAAGGGTATGGACCGAAGGCCACCTGGACCAAGGACAAAGGATACAACTTTGAAGCTGGAAAAGTGGTTGCAGCAACGCCACGGTCGTACCAACCTGGAGACATAGTGAAACCCCAGGACGACATGGCGGGCAATCACTCATTTCCATGCATGCCTTGCACCAATCACCAGGAGACTCGCCGAGATAAGTTGAATGGTGAGGCCAACGGCATCAACATCAACAAAATGTTTAACACTGCAGTGGCTAGACCAGTTGGCAGGAAGGAAATGATGGAGAATGATGATGCTCGGAAAAGTATACGCAAAGAATGGTTAGGTCAACATGAAGAGTCTATGACTTCAGCGTGGAGAGATTATGATGACGTCGTTGCAGAGGCAAAGAAAGCTGGAAAGGAAGTTCACATGGCTAGAATTCATGGAATATGTGTGGAGAAGAATTTTCAACTTCCCAAAGCTCATCCAAATCGAAGGTTTAAAGGACGAGGCGTGCTACTTGGAAACCAGGTCAAGAACCAGTTCTGGGAAGCCGCATTCTTCCAGGACCTTGGGAACTCTCCAGCAACTTTTGAGGCATCTCGGTGGGCAGACTTTTATGGGTGTTTGCCCGGAAATGATGTGAAACTTGCTGATGCGATTCAAGCGTATATCCAAGCAAAACTTACTGGACCACCATTTTGGGTTGAGTTACCAGAAGATGCATGGCCTGACGATATCAACTTCCGGAAGTTCCGTAGACCAGTGGTACGATTAGTCAAAGCCCTTTATGGTCACCCGGATTTGAGTACGATGTGGGTTCGGAACAGCATTGTGATCGGAATGTGAAGGAGTTGAACTTCATCCCTGTTGACTGTCGGGTAAAAATGGCCTTCTATGTACTTCCAGAAGGAACTCAAACTGTTGCTGGTGATCTATGTTGATGATCTCAAACTGGCAGGGCCGAAAGAGAACTTAGCGAAGGGTTGGGAGATGCTTAGATCCAAACTTAAAATTGAACCAGAGACGGACCTAGGTCTGTATCTTGGGTGTTTGTTGAGCAAAGGATCCTCAGAACTTCACGACGGGACTTCGGTATCAACTATGACCTGCGACATGGAGGGTTTGTTGAAACTGTCGGCTGAACGGTACCTGGAAATTGCTGGCAAAGATACCAAGTTGAAGAAGGCTTCAACACCAAACTTACCTGAAGATACTAAAAATCACAAATCACGTGCACCATGTTCAGGGGATCCCAAGAAAAGTGTAAATTGTCCATGGTGTGCCCACAATTTTGATCCAGCAGCCCCAATGCCTTATCAGCAATGACGTCTCTTCGTCGGAGTCTGCTCGAGGCGCGCTTGCTCCGCATGCCGCCAGCGTTTTGATGACGCTGCTCTACGCGGCGAGGATCGCTCGTTTTGATCTGCTACGGTCGATTAATTCTTTGGCCAGGAATGTCACCAAGTGGACTGTAGAGGACGATGCCAAACTTTATCATCTGATGTATGTCAATTCCAGTTTGTCAAAGAGGATGGTGGGCTGGGTTGGAGACACATTCGATGAACTATCCCTATCATTGTTTGCTGATGCTGATTTTGCGGGATGTTCCAAACCATGGTCGCATATGCACATTCAAGGGGGACATACTCGTTTTCCATTGTCTGGGGGCAGCAAGCGACAAGGGTGCTTAAGCCACTCTACCCCTGAAGCGGAGATTGTAGCAGCTGATGTTACTCTTCGGACCATGGGTCTCCCCGCTTTGAGCATTTGGGAAACTTTGACAGGGAAATCACCCAAACTTGTGTTCCATGATGATAATCAAGGGATGATTGGTGTGGTCAGATCTGGGAAGAATCCAACTATGAGGCATCTTGAGAGGATTCATGGGATTTCCATCACGTCAATGCACGAGCACTTCAAAAGATGCAACTATGTGCTTATGCATGAGGTGACATCCAAAATGGCAGCTGACATTCACACCAAAGGTTTCAAGAACCCACTCGCCTGGAAAGGGGCATGCATGTTGATTAATTTGCTTGATCCGGGGGATCTGAGTACGAAGGGGCTCAGTGATATGGTTAAACCAACCACTGATGTCGACACAACCGTTCGTCAAGTTTTCCAATCCCGGACCAATGAAGTACCTAATTTTCCATACACGAAAACACCAATTTTGCCCCCTGAAGTGTACCAAAAGGGGTTGTCTGCCAAAGAACAAGCGCAGCAGTTGCCTGACATGGATCCCATCTCGGTTGTGAAGACGCCAGTCTACTTCCGCAAGCGGCCTCCGGGAATCTCAGCGGCAACGGACTACCTTCGGAGCACATGGGTCCTGGCTCATGGCAAATGGGAGAAGATTGAGGACAAAGCATCAACATTCGAACAACAAGATCGGTTTGACCGTTGGGTTGAGAGAGTTTGTTTTCAATACCATCACATCAATCATGCAACACCAGCCCCACAAACAAAACCTGTGGGTAGTCCGGGAGGAATGCGACGTCGTTCTCCGGCTTCACAAGCAAGCATGCACGATCCGGCAAAATCGCAACGCGGTTATCCGGCTTCACAAGCAAGCAACGGATCCGAGAAGAACACACAAAGAGACAAATGTCAGGGGCAATCTATCCAACACCCACGATTAACAATGAGCATTGCCGGACTATATCTTCGCGAAACTCCAGGTGAACACCCCATTACCGTTCATGCTGCGCCTCCGTGCACAGCGCGGGTGATCAACACGCTACTACGTATTGTTCATGGGGGGAGTGTCGGTTGGGGTGGTCTTCCTCATGGTTATTCTGACAATCTTTACCCTGCTGAAAATCAAGACCCCGACAAAAATCGAATTGCGATTAGGGGAGTCCCAAAGATTTTTCGAGATCGACCCAGAAAACCAAAATCTAGAAGGGATAAGAAGTTGGAGATCAAGAGGAACAGTGCTGATGAATGGGTGTGGGAAGATGAATCGACCCTCATACGAGTTCACAATGAGCCTGGAAGGAAACTGTTTGTTCCCAAATTACCATGTAGCTTGAAAAGGGTCAGGGATGACAGAGTGACGATACAGAAGTTTCAATCCAATTCGAAACCCATCAAGGACTCATGGAGAATGGCGGGTAACAACATCGAGAGTTCAAATCGCAGAAATGAATTTTGGACTGGTAAGACCATCTTCAACGTGATTCCTAATGTACAATGGGGAGCATCTATGGTCGATGAGTCAGACGCTGAAGACAAAGGGTCATGCGGTGATTCAATAGTGACATGTACCAGATCCGAGAACATGGACATCATTCCTCTTGATGATATGTTTATCAGCCACCAATACAAACTTCGGCACCATGCTCGTGAATCACATGAATGGGACATCAAGATGACTCTTCATAGGAAGAATGGGAAGAAGTTGGTCTATTGCTTCAACAGATCTCCCTCGGACATACTGGTGGCGGCATTCAAGGATTAAGAGGTTGCTCTGGATACCCACGAAATGAGAGATGAAACACCATGTTTACTACTGATGCGCGCTGAAGAACAAAGCCTCATTACTAAGATTCACCAGAAGGATAGATTCAAGCTTATGCATGTGGTTACCATCACGGAGGGTGACAATCTGTATCACCTTTCGGTAGGGCAAAGTGGAAAAGGTGCATATGATCGCCAAGCGACTGTGTGTTCTTCGCGGGCCCTTGCGCGGGAGGATCTCCATGGAATCTGTTGAACAGAAACATGGGCAGCTTGACCGCTCACAACATTCAGTTGAAAGCCTTTGAGTGCTGGGAATTATGGGAAGAGTTTGCAAAGTGTTTGAACGAAGCCCTATTCATTGGTGCCAAAGCAATGCTGGAACTGCCTAGGGGTTGTGACTATTGGCGGGACAAGCGGATGATGGACATGGTACGAGGGACTGACTCTAACACCGATGGGTTTGACGGTTGCATGTATGGCTTGAGGTCAAGGTTCAGAAACGTTGGAGTACCCATCAAGGAACCGTGGAGGATCATATCATGGGGGGTATCTTTCAACAAGTTGCTTTCGAAGTGTGATGGCTCACATGATCATGAACAGTGCGCAGGTAAGGAAACGAGAGTGACTCAGCTCTACACTCTACACTGATGAAATCGTCAGGACTATATTGAAAGGTGTCGAGAATGAAATATTACTTGACAGGGCTTATGGAGTAGCCATAAGAACGAAGAGTATGAATCACAACATGCCAAAGGCATCACCATGCATACTGCTCCGAAATCAATTAGTTGGAGAAGACCAACCCACATGTCAGGACGAAGCAACTGTCAGGTCACTGCTTGGTGGAGCATTACGGTGGAAGGTGAAGGTGAGACACATCCCGCGACGTCGGGACATCGAGCCTGATCCTGAAACCAGCTGCATCACCCCGTTGAGGGCCATGGCGACAGGAGCTACATCATCATCGACGGCCACCACAGACGGAAAAGTGCTCGTGCCTGGACCCCAAGCCTGTCGTACAACAGTCACCATTTTGGAGGCAGTCACTGGTGGAGGATTCGGAAGCCAGATTCCAGCGAGATTCACCACGTGGCAAGAGGAGGATGGGCCCTGCACTGACAAGACGGTAGCTAGATGGATTGAGAATGTCCAGATCCCGATCATCTTCGTAGTATCGTTGGCATTTGTGTCGAGAAGACAACGGCCTGAAAAGGTGATCCGTGCATTGGAATTTCTTGCTCGAGTCTTCCGAAGTGTGACAGTGCAGCCCGAGCTTGACATGAAGGTTGAGAGCTTCATGAATGGAGCTGGAAGGATGATCAAGATCGTTTACCGTCACTTGTGCTCGGTGGAGTGTGCGGAGCGAGCAGAGGAGATGTGGGAAGCCTTGAGATACCAGTACTCCATGCTGATTGTGGACGGTGGGACCGTTCGGGACCTTCACATCAAGATGACCACAACCACCATCACCGGCCTGGGGAGCTTGAACAAGACCCATCCACCAGTTGGATCGATCATCGACCGACTCAGGAATAAGGGGAAGTTCTTGGAGGTAAACCAAATGCGCTGGAGCAGGAAGCCAATTGAAGGACAGGAGATCGGACGTGATAACATGGCCGACATCCAAGCGATGAGATCAGCGATCTGGGATACGCCATGCGGAAACACAACTGGCGTCATCGTGACAATCGCGAAAACCAGATCATCATCCAGGACCTGTTCTCAGATTGGGTCAACCTGAAGTACAGCCTCGCATTGGAGAGGGCAGCCGCAGTCACCCACTTGCAGACGACCATGATGCTCTCATCCATCTTGCACGCATGGCTCCGAAACTTCCGACTGAAGGACATCAACAACCTTATGGTGTGGAGGATTGTGCAGGTCATGCGAATCTTGACCGCTGTGTTCGATGCCCCAGAGGATCTTTGGGCACTGGGGGGATACCACATCATGATGGCGGACAATGGGTCGTTTCATGAGGTGAACGCACGGCACACTGCGTTCTCAAACATGCGGAACTACTTGACTACGGGCGCGACCCACATTGCCAGCTGGGATGTTCCTTTGATGCCACAGGATGGTCGACTGCCCAAACCGCCGATCAAACCTCCATTCTGGGACGCAGAGCCCATCGAGATGAGGCCACCAGATGAAGTTGCCGCTGACCAAGCCCGTCAACAGACAGCCGAGGTGAAAACGAAGGCTATGCCCAAAAGACCCGCTGCAAGGCCATGCCGACCTCTGGTGCTACATCCAGCGACACTGGACCCACCGGGAAGGCAAAGGCTCAAGCAAAGTCGAGACCGGAACCTCCGGGTCATTCCAGCGCTGCCTTTCGGTTTCACGGAGAAGACTGCGGAGAACAGGGACTACCGAGACTCCAATGTCAGAACCCGGTACTGGATGGAACGGGATGGCGAGATGTTCCTGCTGTCGATCATGCAAGGACCTGCAGCCGGCAATTCACCAGATGTGTCCACGTGGCAGCAATATCTAAGGATGTATCGCTACATTGTAGCCAAGTGGGAGTTGGCGAAGAAAGGATCTTTCCTCACCGCCGCATCACGGATGCTCCTGATAGGCCCACATAACGTTGATGTTGCGAACGGAACTGATGTGGGAGGATTGAGGAGGAGAATCGCCAGTTCAATTGGTGGAGAAATCGTCGACAGACCACATACCCCCAAAGATGGAGACAACTTGTCTGGGAAGTTCCGCAAAGGGACAATTGTGCTGATCACGGATCTGAGGAACCAAGTATGCACAGCGACATGTGCCAATGATGTTGGCATGGGATTGCAGGACACGGGGTGGGAGATAGTGCTGTTCAAAATCCACGAATCGAAGTGCCCGTTGCCGCTGGAAAAGTTCATTGATACATTGGACAAGGCGATGATGTTCTTGAAGGAGAAGAGCCAGGAAGGCGATGTCACGGTGCACGTCTGGCTATCACTGCAGTTTGTGTTGGGGCAGAACCCACCGGGCCATACATGGTCTTGGTCGACAACCTCTTTGCAGAAAGATTGACGTTGAAGATTGCAGAGTTGGATCTGGAAACGACTCGACCGATCTTTGTCGCGATTCTGCCCAAACTCAACATTCAATGAGGTCGAGGGGAAGACTGGGAGGATCGCCCAGGAGTTGTGGAGAGCGATGTACTCCCAATTCGGTCATCAGTTCAGGATGTTGGGAAAGAAGAAGGAGACGACATTGGGCAAGGGTGCGATCTGGTCTGTGATCGAGAAGCAGTTATTCAGGCCGAGAGTTCTGCTGATGTGTGCCATGGACAGGGAGAAGGTCTTGTCGCTCAATGCAAAAGCCCACATTCCAGGAGAATCAGGTATTGATCCAACGAGATTGAAGGTGGTGACGGGACCCCCAACGGTGTTTGAAGCATTCAAGACTGGGGAGACAGCCGCTCCAACTGATGAGTATTGGAAAGGTCGAAGAGCTCGTCAAAGAGGCCAACAACTGGTTCAAGAGAAGCAAGGTGAGAAAGAACGCCGCATGGATCGAGGCAGACCTCGCACCTACAGAGCTGGAGCCGAGAGGGGACAACGAGATGTATTGGTTCCCAATTGATGTCAATCGAGATGCTGAAATGCTTTGTGACAATTGCAGGGCAACAGCGGGGACAGACGCCATGTACAGCGTCCAGAAAGACCCCAGGGTCTGCATCAACTGCTCGGCGAACAATCAGACTCAGGACTCAAGGGTGTCACCCGAGTTGAAGGAGCAGCAAGCGTTGATGATCTTGGCAATGAGAATCAAAGCTGCATTGGACTTTTCAGGGATGAGTCATATGCACATCAATGAGAACTTCAAGGATTGGATGGTCAACGTGGCAGCAACATTTGTTGCCAACCACTCGTTGCCCTATGGTGAAAAGTTGATGAAGGCAATTTCCCACATGGGGGGAGTGCGCATTCCTGCGCATCAGGCCAGAGAGATCTTCAAGAATGGACACGGAAAGCAGGTGACGGTGATTCAAACAGAATTTCCGGACCCTGAATCAGGTTGCACCGTCTATGCCTACCGATTGACTAAGGATTGCGGGAATGTGGCGTACTCTGACTTTCTGCACAAGGTAATTGATGACAGCAGCAAGATGAATGAGATCTTCGGGCCAACCATGGCGACTGCAGAAAAGGCCGGTGATGTCATCGAGTTCTGGTTAGGATTGCTGGACGTCGCATCGATGACGAAAGGGGTGGTGGACATCTTTGAGGACAACATCAATCCCACCGAGTCAATGGCCTTGAAGCTGCGGTACAATTCTTTGGGAAGACCGCCAGAACCTGATCAACCATCAACAGCAAGAGAAAGGGATCTTTTGACTGCACCATGGACCCACGTGAGAATGAGCAAGTGATGCGAAGGGTCAACGAGGTGGACATGTATCATGAGGCCTGGAGATTTTGTGTATCTCAATGACAGGGAGTACACCCAAGTACTGGAGCACTTCTATCAGCACATAGGAGTCGATGAACCAGTTGGTGGCCCAGAGAAGAGTACCGCATCGGGTGCTACCTGGGAGCCGACGGCTTCAGCACCCGATGCGGGGCCCTCTCAAAGGGAGGCTCCAGAAGCTGAGGCGGTGGAGTATGTGAAGTACGGACGGCAGAAAGTCCTGGACGCATTGGGAGCACTCTTCCAAGCTGCTGATGAAGAGGATATCTGTTTGTACTGTGGAGGGATGAGCCACGAGATGTTTGACTGCAAAAGCGCCGACGGCGCTCAGTCAAAGAGTCTCTGAAGCGAATCCGGAAGCAGTTGACAGCAGAGGACGTCAAGGCCGAAGAACATGATGCACCGATGGAAGGGCCAAGTGATGGACCTCAAGTGCAAGAGGAAGTCAAGGAGGAGGAAACAGAGTCCGATGATGATGACGTCGGCGCAAACGACCTCTATGATGAACCCGTGCACATGAATGAGATCGGAGACCGTGATGAAATTCGGCAAATCCTTGAAATTGTGCGAGAGGCAATCATGAAGAGTGGCGGTGACGAATGGACAACCCAAGAATTCCAAGATGCCTACCCTGAGACCAACGTCGCGAAGGCCCACACATACCGAAGGGTGGAATATCCATTGGCTCGAGGGAAAGTTCAGAATCATCCCAACAAGTGGTGACTTCTTTTACTTTGGAAGATTCAACTTTGGCGGTTCTCAACACATGAGGGACTATATGCCATGGCTCTCTCAGTACGAAAAGGCGGTGAGCAGAGCATTGAACATTGGCCTCAGGCACCATGCCGGAAAGATCAGTAACCACAATCGAGGATTTGGTTTGAAGTGCGACGACGCCGTTTGGGTCGACATCGTTGAAGTCCTGAATTACCCGTTCTTCTGGGTGCAGAACCACATCATGAGGACCCCACCGCTGTACTCCACGAACTGAAGTGGAGACAAGGTCATGAACATGGACGAGGCCTTGCGAAGGATCAGGTGCCTGTTCGAGATCATGCATCACAACGTGGCGGATGGGAGGAGAGTGAGAATTCAAGTCTTCGCATTTGTGGCGACGGAGCAGACCAGTCGAACACATGCCTTCGCAGCTTCGCGAGGCATTGACGAGAACACGGTGATTCCTCCAGAAGGATTGTTGATTGAACCAATTGCGGTGAGAGCCCTCAATGGACATACTGGAAGCGCCAGTGAAAGGGAGGTGGTGTTGAAAAGAGACCTTAAGCGGCTCACAGCAGGAGCCGTGACGGCGATCCCAAATTGCTTTCACGTTACATCGAGGGAGAACCTCATGGGAACCTTCGAGAGGGGAATACAACCAGGAGGAGGATCCGGGAGATCGGTGACCTACTTCAGCTCCTTTGCGCCATGGGACGAGCGATCATGGAAGATAAGCAAGGGAACCTACATCCGAGGAGAAAGGGCTGTGTTCTACATGAAGACCGAAACCCTCATGGACCAGTTTGAAGGAAGGATCACTGACTCAGGACAACCGGTGACAGATCTGGTCATCCCCTTCGCAAGCTTGAGAGGAGCTTGGGTACAAGATTCAGGCATGAACTGGCACAGGCTCATCGTGCCGTCAGGCCCAGAACAACTGGTCAGGTCAGTTTACAGACCCTGGAGGTATGCCAATCGAGAAGAAGTCATGAAGGAAGCTCGCGCTTGTGCAGAAGAGGTCGAGTACGAGGACGCAAAAGCTGCAGACATCATCGACACCGTGTGTGCCTTCGAGAACAGGACAATCAAACTCGGGGGTGCTAAGGAGAAGGAGGCTCATTTCAAGCTCCTCTACTACATCGTTGAACACAGAGCGGTGGAGATCGCTGGATGCATCACATGTCCAGCATGCCTGAAAGACACACCCGCGAAATACTCGATCTGCCTGAAATGCAAAGGCATGATGACCTCATATGGTCGACGGCCATTCGTCATCACCGAGGACGAGCGGGAGAATGATCCAGGCGATGCGATGGATGTCGACGATCAGGATGATGAACCATGCAGGACCTGAAAATGCTGAGCAAGAGCATGATGAAGAATACCGTGAAACGGTAGAAGAAGCCAAGCGCGAAGCTGCAACCGCAAATTGTGACTTCGACGAGTCAGAAGTCGACTGGAGCGTAGACGATGATGCTCACGAAATGGAGGTGGATGCAGCGAACTCCCCTCCCGAACCAGAAGATGAAGAGGAAGTCATGATGCGCGAGAAGGAAAAGCAGAGGCAGGAAGAGCATCGAAGAGATGCCGAAGGATTCCCCAAGTGGGCACGACGACTTCAAGTTGGTAGCAAAAGACTTCCCGACCTGGGTCTCACGAACGTGGACGCGGAGGAAAAGTGCACACGAATTTTTGATCACGCGCTAACGCTCCACATCCTCAGGTACTACAAGTTCTACTGGAAGCACAGAGTGGAAAACGCCACTCAGTTGTACTATGAGGCGATGGTGGCGGACGAAAACGGGAGGCTCGATCTTGACGGCATATGTCCATTTCATAGCGATGGAGGAGACAATCTGACAATCTGATTCCACCAGCCGATGAGATGATCAAGATATGGTGGACTGCCAAGTTCAAGGCAAAACCTGGTAGAGGAGAACCCAAAACAATGACATGGGCAAGCCGAGATCTAGAATCGATGCCAATGATCATCCGCACCGCGTGCAAGGTTGAGAAGATGATGGAATTCCTGGTAGAGTCTGGATTTCACTCACGAGATCCTAACTCTGGAACATGAGGACAGGACCCAACACGATAGGAGATTGCAAATGTGGGGGGTGATTCAGAACTTCATTAGAAGGGTCATGAAGGGTGCCTTTCCAGAAATGGAAAGCTACTCGTCGTACTTCCGAGATGAGGAGGAATGCGAGATAAGCTACGGAAAGGAAACACTCTCGCTTCCGGCATTGGGCGTCATCCTCATGCAGCGTGAGCGTGACCGTCAAATGGAGACATCACTCACGGCAAACGATTGCGGTGTGGTTCTTACCACAGATCTGCGAGAGAGGATGGACTACGCTTGGGCCTATGCCATGACCAACGAAGCCGAAGGTCGCAAAGGACTTGTCGATCAGATGCTGCCAAGGGTCGATGCGGGGCAGAGGAAGACGTTCAAGCTCGAACATGCCATCGAGCCATCTACTGCGGCCGCAGTTGAAGACAATGCGACCCGACGAGCCGCACGGCGACATCAACCAGCACCTTCATCATCTTCGAATCGTGAGCAGGAAAAGAACCAGAAACAGAGAAAATCTACCGACTTCAAGTGAGAACAACCGAAAACAACTAGCAAAACCAGGGTACATCCATGTGCAACTATGCGAGATCATTTTGACCGCATTTGACATGGTGATAATCTTGGAAGATGACATCACCATGAACTTCATCTTTTGAGAGGAATCTGAGAGAGGCATTTTCTTGTCCCGGCTACGGTGAACATTTGGGACTAGCTGTGTCTCACCTCTCATTTTCGATTAAGCATCAATCAATCTTTTGTAGTTAGCCTCATAGCATGTAGTGTGTGTACAGAGTGCGTAGGAGACGGTAGGTCTCCCTATGTGGTGAATCTCGACCCATAAGGTTCGCGACGCGAACAGGGAAGAGACAATCCACAAGCTCTGGCCTAGCTACGATGTGTATAGGCGAACTGTATAGCATTTTGTTTGTCATTCCTTCCTGCTGTGGCCGATACCCAATCGAAATCGGCCATGGGGGTGTCAAAGGAATGTAGGCGATGTGTACAGGTAACATGCATATCAATTAGCTGCATGTGTGAATCCGGTGAGCCCAACGCAACGTTGCCTCAAGACTTCGCCACTGACGAGTAAACATGCCGAGCCTGCTGCGAAGCCGTCGTCTGAGAGATTGAGGGTTTGCAGCACGACCAGTCGGGTGACAGTTGACTTTACAGCTAATAGACCATACCCGGGACAGGGGTGACACTGTTCGCAGTATACATATATCATACATCATATATCATATATCACATATCACATATCACATATCATATATCACAAATCATATAGCACATAGCACATATCACATAGAATATATAATTAAAATATATCATATATCACATATCATATATCATGTATCACCTATCACATATCATATATCACAAATCATATAGCACATAGCACATATCACATATAATATATAATTAAAATATATCACGTACCACATATCATATATCATATATCACATATCTTATATCATATATCATATATCACATAGCACATATCACATATCATATATCCCAGTTTTTTGTTGCTGCGCTCCAGCGAGGTGAACAGCTTGATGAAGGGTCGAGTCCTGGAGGAGGGTGAGAAGCAATTGTCTGACAATGCGACTTATTGCGATTTTACGGTTGGATGGGAGAGAATCAGAGACACGAAGAGAAAGAGTCCATGAAAACCAACCACCACTTTCTGGTTTCTAAGCAGGCTTTATTTATACTGAGACATACTACACGAAGGCGGGCAGCGCAATTTGAGCGGATTTTTGTGCCCGCAGATGAACATCAAAGACATCCAACCGTCCCCAACTGAGAAAACTCGTCCGCTTTGAAGACATGAAGAAAACAAATAGGAAAACACCATAGATCATTATGTGGACCTCATGGCCTGAAATCGAACGCTGGAACTAAATGGAACAAATCTTGCCAATTTCAGGGCCGAGGGACCAAGCAAACTTGTGGACTTATATAATGATACTTAGTGCTACAGATATAACGATACTAAATGATACTAAAAATAGTACTCAATGATACTTGATACTTCATGAGACTTAATGACACTCAATGATAATTAATTCAGATAAATGACACTCATATACAGCCCGGGCGCTGGTTAAGAATCCGAAAGCTTGAGGTCCAGGGCCCCTCATTCTTATTTTTAAATACAGGCAAATTTGCACCACAACAGGCCATTCTTAGGGCATTCTTAGTTTTGTATTGCAGGTATCTGCGCAATTTGGAGCGAGCTTTAAAAACAAGGCAACGAGGTGGAGTTGGCAGATTTGACAAGAGGCATGCGAAAAAAAAATGATTTTTTAGAGCCTGAAAAATTGTTTTTTGCAAAACCGGGCTTGTCTGAGTTTCATAAGGTTAGTGTGCAAAACAACTTTTTAGAGCCTGAAAAGTTGTTTTTTTCGCACAACCCTTCTTCTCTGTACACTGTAAACCATGCTAAACCCAGCCCTTTGCAGCCAAAGCAAAGAGAGAGTCGGAGGCAAAATTTCTTGAAGGCAAGGCTCCTGTAGTGCAATGGGTAGCGTGTCAGACCTCAGCCTTGAAGGTTGGAGGTTCGCCTCCCGCTCTTGGTTTTTTTAGGCATCTAACGTATCAGAGTTGTTCCAAGGCATGTGCGAAACAAACCAATTTTCGGAGCTTGAAAAATTGATTTTCTGCAAGCCCGGTTTCATCCCATAAGACCATATAAGGGGTCACGCCTTAACGCAAAAAGGGGAATTGCAGACCTCACGTATAAGCAGTAATTTAAGAATTTGGCAATCCTATTCCAGGGTCCCTCAAATTCTTAACGTACTATGTGTTTGGTATAGCTGAAAATATATAGCCCGCCTTGGAATCGAGCCCCTCAAATTCTTTTACAGTGAATTCTTGTACAGTACTCAAGCTGTATACGTACTGTTAAATAATATAATATCAGATCATATTATATAACACAATACAATATATATATAATATTATATATTATAGAAGAATAAATTCAGGAGTTATTACCAATTTACTGCAATACCATTTTGGTCTCATCATGCATGCAATGTTAGTGTCACCAATTGCCCACTTGGACTGAAGCATGAACCGAATTCATTAGTATATCCAATGGTGTGTTAGCGTTTTCCTGGCTCCACCATATATGAGTGAGCAGTACAGACCTATGCATGCCATCCTTAACCTGTTGAAAGAACTTACATCATTAATATGATAGTTCGAGGAATCCAGTTTGCATGCGCTGTGACATATCCCATGTCTTAACATAGCACAGCCAGCGGGTCCACGGTAAATATATCATAATATATCCATGTTCCCGGACTTTGGCTCAAGTGTGCCCTGCGACAAAAGGCCGCGCGTTGCTGCTGCCACAGTGTTCTTGCATTGGGCATACAATCCAGTTTTCTTGTGCTCATCAGCCGTAGTTGTGGCTGCCCTGACCAACTTGGGATTCAGTACAATTTCGCAGTTATCAATCACAGACGCTCTTTGGAGGGCTGTTGATTTTCACCGATCTGGAAGGCGAGGACTATCTCAGAAGACAGCTTTCATAAGGCGTGGTCTTGCGGAAGATAAGTTTATCCTTACATTCTTGATTCTTCAATCTCCGACGGGCAGAGGGCAACACTTCGACCGAACGTAATTTGGGATCTTGAGACGGCTTGGGAAGTCTCGTCATCATCGGCGGAAGAAGCGGAGGAGGAACCGGAGAATCTTGAACCAGAGACAGTAGCACCAAAAGCTACCTGGGGGGAACGCGGCCAAGTTTACAAGCCATAAAGTTGAAGGGTGAACTATCGGGGGAAGGGATCTTTTATACCCTAAAGGATTGTCCTGCAGCCCTCTCACTTGGACAACAGGTAAACGAACAGGGTAAAGCATGGGTGTGGTTTACAAATCAGCTACCGTTTTTCATCCAATCACATCGACTGTCAGATGTCACATTTCATTGTCCAGAAAGTGCCAAGATTTATGTCGATCGTGTTGAACAAAATGTTCCAATCCTGTCGGAGTCGCTCGAATGTCTTGCAATGCCAGCCGAAGCCAGTGGTCAGTCAGAGTCTGTCATGGCAACAGGTGTGGAATCGAGCTCTTCGGAAGTGAAGCCGTTCCCGGCTCCTGCAGTTGATCGCCCCGCTGATGTTCCCGAAGAAACTTCTGGGGAATTGGTAAAAGTAGATGAATCTGTTCGGGCTGATTCTCAAAAGGGTAAAGTGGATGACGTAGGCACACCGGATGACCCACATTCTTCAGAGGATGATAGTGATGAAGTTGTAAAGACTTTGAACCATTCTTTGACCCACTATGCAAGAATAAGCATTGTGAAGTTTGCATGAGGGCAAAAATGACATCAAGATATCACAGAAAGCGTTGGGACCCAGATCCGGAAGAAACTCCACCCTTACATTTTGGTCACATGTTACGTGTTGATCATTTAATTATGGGTAGCAATTTATCAAAGGGTTCAGAAGGTGAACAAGCATGCCTGATTTGCTTTGATGAGTACAGCGGATGTTACCAAGCATTTGCCCAAACTTTTAGAGCAGTTGAAAATAATGTTGCATGCCTCCGCAAGTTCGGTGGGACCAAAGGTCACGGCCGTGCACTGTGCTCAGTGAAATCCGACTCAGCTCAAGAGCTGGTAGAAGCCGTAAAGCAGCTAGACTGGTTACCGGAACCAGGGTTGCCAAATGATCCCTACCATGACGCAAAGTTGGAATCCAATATCTGTAGGAGAAAGGAGGGGACTCGTGCGATCCACTTAGCTGCCGGATTCAGTCACGTGGCCTAGGAGCATTGAGTATTTTTGCATTGCCAAGAGTTTTACCACCCAAGCACCAATTCACCTCAATGATTCGGATGAAGTCATGAAGTCAAAAACTTAAAACAAGGATGGAATTGCTATGAGGCAGCCAATATTTGGTGAACCTTTCCAAGGATTGAGAATGCCACTAGGTGCCTTAGTGTACTACAAGCCCCCAGGTCATACCAACAAGCCTGCATTCGACCACGCACTTTGCCAGGGATTTTTGTGGGGTGGAGAATGGACGGCGGTTTCAAACACCGTAAAATCAACTTAGCCCTTGACTATGAAAGTGTACGATGTAAGTCAAAAGGTTTTGGAAGACCCATCCAAGTCCATGAGACGGAACTTGTTGTACCTGAGCATCATATGTTTCCACTATATCAAGCTGAGCAATCACGACTTGAAGGGGGGACAGGGGAGTTGCCGAAAACTGCATTACCATTTGAAGAAGGAGCGTCACCAACACCAGGGAGAGTAAGACGAACTTACGTAACTTTGGACAGGGCGATTCGTTTTGGAAAAACAGTTGGGTGTAAGGGGTGTGATCGCATTGCAGAAGATGTGAAACATTCCGAAGCTTGTCATCAAAGATTCAGGTCTTTGTTGGAAAAAGAAAAGGTAGAAAAGCAAAAAGAAACTCTAAAATCTCTTGAAGCTCAACAGGGGGCAGGGGAAAGGGAGTTTGCTGCGATCGAAGCCGAAATCGAACGCAACCTTTTCGAATCCAAAGCTGAGCCATCCGTGCCTGCGGGTCAAGCCCCAGTGTCTTGTGACGAAAAGTCAAATGATTTTTGGGAGTTTGATAAAGAAAAAGGAGCATGGTGTAAAGTTCATGTTAGACCTAGAAAGAGGTTGTTTGTCCTTTCAATGCCAAAGACATTGGTTCCAAAAGGGTCACTGAATGGCGTTGTAGGAATAGGGTATCAACTCATCAAGATGATTGGCAAGTTAACCCATACCAAAGAATTTGCTCTCGAAGTTGGACGGGTCGTACATGGTTTTTCCCATCAACCAAGTTGGACGAAAGGCGTGCAACAATCCAAGCAGCAGTTGCAAATGCAAAGAATCAAAGATTCCTTTCAAGAGGCGTTGAGGCAGCTGAGCTCATGATGGAGGGTATCCCAAAAGATCAAAAAGAATCGTTACATGCAATGCTACCCCAAGTTGACACAGTGGACCATTCTCAGGCCCGAAAGAAGGCCAAAAGCAATCAACCGACGATGTTTGAATTTTGTTGTTCCAAAGAATCAACATTTGGGTATGTTAACGTAGATCGAGGAATAAACTTCAGATTGACTAAAGATATCACTGACTTGATAAATCCTGAAGATGTCAAATCCTTGAAAAAGCCGATTGAACAGGTTCCAGGTTGTGACTTGTGGGGTTCGTTACCGTGTGATCCTTGGTTAAAAATGGCAAAGTGTCAATGTTGCCAAATACGGAAAAGCCTTTGCTAAGAAGTTGAAAAAGAGACAGGACTTGTCAAGGGTTTTGCTCAATCACTTCTTTGAGGTCGCGGAGCTTGTGCTCAGCCAAGGGGGCCATGCTGCCTTCGAATGGCCAAAAGGTGCCAAAGGTTGGTTGTTACCTGAACTAGTCGCATTCATGAAACGTCACAAACTGTTCATGGCCGAATGTCACGGTTTTTTTTGGAATGCAAAGCTCAAAAGGCAGACCAATGTTCAAGCCTTGGCACATCGCAACTTCGTCCTCCTGGATAAATGCAGATGTCAGCATGAAAAGGGATTCAAGCATGACCATGCCAAAGGCAGTGAACCGCCGAAAATGGCCTTTTACCCAGAAGCA